ATGACTCGATTTAGCTTCAGCTGGGCAAGCTCAATGCTACGTGCAGCTATTAATGCCGCAACGTCATCTGCATACCCAACTAGGACAGTTTCCTCAGGCATCTCGGATCTCAAGAGGCTGTCGTAGGCGACGTTCCAGAGGTCCGGGCCCAGTATGGATCCTTGAGCAGCACCAGAAGTTACATCCATCGTTCTGGAGCCTTCTGTAGTGTCGTAAATGATGAGGCGGTACCGGAGGTAGTCCTCTATCATGCGCATGAGGTATGCCGGGACGTGGAAAGTGTTCTCAAGTGCGTCCAGCACATCGCACCACCTCGCGGAATTAAATGCGTTTCGCACATCAAGTGTTACAAGCAGCACAACCCGACACGAATAGTTGTTAAACTCCTCAGCTCTCATTACGGCTCGCTTTACCTCCTCAATAGCGTCAACCGTTGACCGTCCCTTCCTGAAGCCGTACTGACGAGGGGATAGATTTCCTGCAGCGACCACGGCTGAATTCAGTCGGGAACGGATCAACTTTTCCAAGACTTTCCCAGCAGTGTCCAACATACAGAGAGGTCTGTAAGAGGAGGGTAGGTCTGGGTTTCCTTTTCCCTTCCCCACGAGCACAAGCCTAGCTGTTTTCCAGCAGAAGGGAAACTTCCCCTCGGCCAGACAGGCAATGTACGTGCTCAAAAGGATTTGTGGATTTATTGAAAAGACTTTCTTCAGGGCCTCACCAGATACCCCATCCGGTCCAGGAGCCTTGTTGTTCTTCAGGGATAGAACGGCCGCCTACAACTCCTCGAGACTGAACAGCGGTACGTCGTCCACCCTTCCAAACTCCCGCAATGGGCGCAGTGTGTGAGTCGGGAAAAGGCACTTTACAATCCTCTCCATAGAGGCCCCGTCCATAACGGAAGGCGGAGAGCGGGTGCCAAGCTTCTTGGTTACTATCTTGTAGCCCAGGCCCCACGGATCGGAATCGACATCGTCCCTTAATTTCTCCCAGCAACTGCGTTTGCTCCGGTTAATGGCCCGGCGAAGAGACTTCCTAGCCACCTTGTAAGCGTCAGACTTAAGACGTCTATCTTCAGGTTCTCTGGCCCTGGTAGCAAGACGTCTGGCTCTCAATGCTGCCTGTCGCAGTTCTGCGATCTCGGTTGTCCACCAGTACACAGGTCGCTTATCGCACCGGGATCTCCTGCAAGGCATTGACTCATCGCAGGCCGAGATTATCAGCCTCATCAATGATGTAACTGATGTCTCTGCGAAAGCCACGCCAGATGCAGCAGGTACCACTGGCTCTCTCCGTAGTATGACTTCGGTGAATTTGGCCACGTCCAGCTTTTTGGTGTTCCACCGAACGGGCACCTGCCGAGACACGGTAGCTTGTCTCTGATGACTATCCAGGACATCAAAAATGATGTACTGGTGGTCACTGGCCGTATAATCCTCTAGGACTCTCCAGGCTCGTATACTCGGCAAGAGGGACTCAGATGCAAGCGTAATGTCTGGGATCGTTCCCCTCATTCCGGGACGCTGGAAAGTTGGCGTGTTGCCCTCGTTTATGACAACAAGTCCAGCCCTGGCAGCAAAGTCCAGGATGTACTTCCCCCGGGAATTAGTGAGAGACATTCCCCACTCGACAGCCCTAGCATTGAAATCCCCCGCCACGACAAAGTGCCCGGCGGTATCGCGCACGCTCTCTTCCAGGCGGTCTATCTTTCTACGAAAATCACGGATAGCCTCGTTGGGGGTGAGGTATACACTAAAGTAAGTGACATCCCCGCACCGGACCCAAACGAATCCTCGGCCCTTCGCGTGACTCCTCACCTGCACTTTAGCTGTATTACGAACCCAGAACGCAGCAGTACCAAGTGTATCGGGAAACCAAAGAGATGGGTCCCTGTCCCGGTACTGGTACTGTTCGCTGACCAAGAGCGCGTCAACACCGTGTTCGAGGGCGAGCTGACTGAGAAGCGCGTCAGCCGTCCTGGATCGATCTACATTGCACTGGAGGATCCTTATCTTCGTGGTTGGGCTTTCGCTTGTTGTAGTGTGCCTTTAAATGCACTGCACTGCCCAGACCCAGCTATATGTTTAGCGTTTTTATCATTGAGGCCTTCCTCCTTACAGAGGAAACAGGTCTCGACTTTACAGTCCCTACGAGTGTGACCCACCTCCCCGCATCGAAGGCAGTTCTTGCCTCGGTCGGGCCCTTCGCAGTTTCGGGAGGAATGGCCGAAATCAAGGCATTTAAAACACCTCGTTACTTCCACCCTCCGTCTCAACCTGCAATTAACCCATCCAACCCTCAAATGCTGGAGTGCCAAAACCTTACTGGCGTTTGCGTCTGCCATTTCGGCGACCGCCATCCGCTGTTGACTCCGGTTTCATGAGCCACACCCTCAGACTAGCCGTTTGTCCGGCAAGCTCGGGGACAGCTTTTTTTAGGGCATCAATGACGTCATCCTCCGTTGACACACAATCCATATCCCGAACCTCGACGGACGTCTTGGGTTCGAGAGCACGAACGGTGCCCTGTCCTTCCACAGCTGCCTTTAGTTCGGCAGCAAAGGCGGCTTTATCTTTAGACTTACCCAGTTTGAGGAGGACGTACCCGTCCCGGGTTTGTCTAATCGACCGTACAACCGTGTCGGTTTGCTCTGGCTTAGCCTTGGCCTTGATAACACCCAAGACTTCGGCGAATGATCTTCCCTCCAAAGGCTTGACCAAAATTGCCTCAGTCCTGGGCTTTTTGGGCCGCGACTTTTTAGAAGCGAGTGCCGAGCCAGGCACAGCTTGGGCCACGCCGGTCGACTGTGCCCTCACTGCCACATATGTCAATTGGAGCCGACTTCCGCGTGCCTCAATTTCCTCTTCTCCTTTTTCGTAAAGCGCTTTTCCCACACAGTCCCAGATGGTGTTTATACGACTGACCCCTTTCGGGAGCTACCCTCAATGGGTGTCGCAGGTTGCTGTGGCTTTAGAGGTTTCGCTGGAGCGGCAACTACGTCAGAGAAGGGCCTAGAAGTCTGGATCGCCTTGACCTTAACTTTAGGCTTTGCTGTCTGAACAACCTCTTCTCTTTTTGGAGGGCTTTCTGATGTAGGCCTCCTGCGTTTCTTGGAAGGTCGCGCATTGTCGTCAGGTAGGGACACCACCTTCTTGGCGATCCTTTCCATGGCCGCCTTGCTCACCAGCCGGCAGGCGAAGACAAAACCAAGGTCGTCCTCGAGCTTAGCCATACCATTTTTAACCACTTGGTTAACTCCTCTCTGCGTCTTAAAGGTTTCAAGCATTGCCTTTATGGTCTGCTCCATGTTTCGAAGCCGGTTTTCAATGTCATTTTCTGCGTCAAGATATTGCTGACGCAGAAGTACCATTCCCGACACTTCCAAATCTAACGCTGCTGTTAGGGATTCCTCCGGCATCCCTTCACCAGACTTAGAGGGTGGTCCACCGTTTCCTTCTCCACTTGTCAAGGGAGATCCCAAAGTCAGGTCTTTTGTGCACCTGAAAGTTGCAGGTGGTGGGGACGTCTTCACGCCTTTCAATGTTGGCGATCTCTGGACCTTGGAGCTTCACCCAAAAGGGTCTCGCTCTACTTCCGACTTCTTTTCTTGCTCATCCGAGCTGCTTATCAAAGATGTGTTCAGGGTATTTGTTTTAAAAGCCATCTTGTGTTTACCAGCGCATCGTGCGGCAAGGGGCGGCCCGGAATAGTCAGGAACGGGTATACCCTCGGGGAAAGCGCCCCTACCCCAGTTCCCCGAGGCCCAACCTCCGTTTTCCCAGCACCGGATACCTGACGTGCCGGGGGTCACCCGTCACAATGTAGAGCCCGACCTCTACATCCATGCCGCACTCCCTGACCAAGGACCGAAATGGCTGGCTTCTCACGACTCACTGAGAATACCCATCGGCAGTGCAGAGCATACATCAACCCCTGCAAACACAACAGGGGCACTCCCAAGGACTCCCAGTGAGAGCGTCGGTCACCCTTTTAGTCGCCTCTTACGACAAGCCCGGGAAGGCTGCGGTTCTATTCTAACCCCGAAACCGCAGGGGGAGGTCTTGGAAACGGTAAGAGGTACGGCAAAGCGGTTAATATACAGGCCTACTATGTCGGTTCCAGCTTTTGATCAAAAACAATAATGCAGCGTAAAAAAATTGTAAAATTTTAATACGTGCCGCAACAGACGTTTCAAGAAACACATACTTTTTTGTGGGGGGATGTTGAAACGCGAAATTGTCACTTTTCTGAATTTTCCTCATGGTTTGGGGCAGAGACCTGTCATCGTGCCAAATTTCTACTTCCTAGCCCGTCTAGAAGTGCCCAAACACTTGTATACCTGATCAGTGAGTGAGTTACACATCGTGCTGTATAGTTAATTAGATAAAATATTAAATACAACAATTTGTTTATAAAAACACAGGATATTTTGGTAAGCACAAATCCGTTATGAGGACACATATTTGGAATTTATACACACGGCTGTTCAGGGGACAGACCCATTTAAAATGTATGGGATTTAGTTGGGAAATTCATTCTCCTACAAGTGTATTGGTATGCCTTTTTTGCCATACACAAGGCTGTTATGAGGACACAAAATGTTATATACAAGGATGTTAAGAGGACTGTCTTCTTATTAATAAGAGGACAGCAATTGTCCTCCTAACAGCTTTGTATATAAATTTTGTCCACTTAACATCCATGTACATATCTATATATATATATATATATATATATATATATATATATATATAAATTCCCCAAATGCGGCTTCTTTAAGGATGCAAAAACGTCAAAAAATAACCCATCCTCTCATTCCACTATACAATCACCCTACAGTATTTCTTTTAATTTTAGATTTCTTAACAAGTGATTTTGGGAACATTTCTATGTCAATAACGGTAGAAGAACATTATTATTTGTCAGAGAAACATATTTACAATTTTATTAATTGATTCATATAACCTTATTTACCCATAAAATACAGATTATTCACTCACCTGAGGTGACGATGGAGGTGTGTTTCCACCGGAAGTGTTTAAATATTTCAGGTACAGCTGCCACCATCACTTCCGCCGGAGGAGACAGACGTACGAGGGGGTTGTCTTCCGTCGGGTGAACCACCTGAAAGTGACGACTTGTGAACGTGACGTCATGAGAGAGGAAAACTCTTGCTGAGGGATACCAAAATTTTACTATCAAAGTCATTTGTATTTAGTTTTACCACTATTAACTTTCAATTTTATTTCCAAGTAATTCATTTGACATAAAAGTGGAACATCGAGAAATTATGCACTTTTACTGTAAAGCAAACTTCACACCAGATATAAATGCATTAAATGGTAACAAAAATACATGATAATTTATTTTAAAATGAAAACAGACTCTTAAATCTGTTAAATAGTGCTCTATAAGCAATATAATGCATGAGATTTTACAGTGAAACAATAAATTACAATGAGAATATTTTAGCGGGAAAGTGCTGGTGGTGGCAAAGAGGGGTGTTTGTAATTTATTGCTGAATTGTTAATGGCTCTCTAAGTGTGCGGTGTATTATATGGAGTATTTGTGGGAGTTTATGAACATTTTGATTGTTAAGTATATAAATCTGATTTGTACAATGGGTAGAAAACACACTAACAGGAAACGATTGTCAAATAGAAAGAAATAAAAATGTTTAACGATTTTATTCCGTATGATAAGATGTGTTAGTAATTTAAAAATAATATAAAATTTAAATTTTTTTTAAATGCACGTCTTTTTTAGCTAAATAATACACCAAAAGGGAACTGGTAACGCAAGGATATATTTGAAATATATGCATAGTTTTAACTTTGCATGTAGTAAAAAAATAAAAATCATTATCTTTTAAAGCTGTTTAAAAAAAATAAAATTGATTCTCTGGAAAAACACATTAACCACAGCCAAATGTTTAGTTGTTCTTATGATATTTACATAGCTATAAGACCTTTTCATGACTTTACAACCACAAAGATTGGATTGATATTATTAATAGTAAATTGTTATTATCAGTTTTCAACATACCTAAATCTGGTTCCAAGAGGGATCTATTTTCTTTGATCAAGTCACAATTTTTATATTACATGATAGCCTTCGTTAGTTCGACAGGAACCAAACATTTTAATTTAAAAAGTATTAGTGTAAGATAATAAAAATAACTCGCTTCAAACAGAGTCACATTCTATAGGCTGTCATAGTGTACAGTAAACATTCTCTATTTGTAAAATTGTATGGTAAATGGAAAACCGGAAACTGTACAGACCTGTAATCACCTGCACGTTGTTGATTTCCGTAGTTGCACAATGTATGGATAACAAGAGAGAGACAATTCAACGTTGGAAATGATGATGTAAAGTTCTATCCTGTGTTATAGTTATAGAACAGTTGAAATCATTAATGTTTCAATGTAATAGTTGACTATTTTACAAAAGAAAAGAATAACTGATATCCACATATTTTAACAGAGCAGTTTTAAGAAATGTTTAGAAAGGGATGTAAGTGAATACACGAATCACGTTTAGTTTGGTAGTACCAGAATCAAATAAACTCCTTTAACATATTTTTAGGATTAATATACAAAATCAATTGTAGGAAACCAGGGGTGCATGACTCACATTTAAAAAATATGACGATTGTTTTATCATTGTCAAAAGTTGAAGTTGGTTTGAATCATTCAGTTCAATGGTGGAATTCAATTTACGCCAGTACACCATGGTAAAATTTGAATAATAAAGAAGAAAATTTAGAGACTATATGCAGTTTTTATCAAATATTATGTAAAGAAATGTTTTGAACCTTAAGCACTTTAGTACTTAATAATTGTTTTGTAACATATCCATCCAACTTAAATGGAAAAGCAATAGCGTCTGGTTTGGTTCAAAGAACTCAAGTTGATAATTCGAAAAGTTGTTTACAGCAACAGCAGAAACTGGCTTTGTCAACAACACTCAAGACGAAACATGTTCAGATAGATCTATAAACTTAATCTATCAAATCTCTGGAAAGTTTCTGTCCAGCAAGTGGTGGCTGTCTTCTTTCATAACTGATATTTTGGTTGAAAGATATTTCATACGATTGTTAACTCGATGTATCGATCGGTACCGTTATTCGTTATGACAGATTTTCTTACTCGTGGACTGTTCTTTCCTCTGTTTATGAATTATGTTTTCGTCTTAATAACGTATTACATAATGAAATAAATGTATAATTTCAAATTCTTTGTTTGTTCATATTTGGTAACGGTTGACTTAACAATGTAAAACTACAAACTAACTATACACAATTTCTAAAGGAAAGTGTTATGAAACAATAATGTGTAGCTCTAGGAAGTCGACAACGTGGGTTTTCCGCAAAAGGGACACTTTAACAAATCCTTTATGAGATTAACTATTTAAATTCATCAAACTTAACAGTTTCATATACTGTATATCGCACATTATACAGGGTGACAAAAAAGTCTGGAAACGGCTTGATATCTTTTTAACTAAATTCGTTAGAAAATTCAAACCTTTCACATCAACTTGTATGTATGAAAACTACTTTTTGCAAGCATTACCATTTTTGTACCACCACCAAGACCGTGTGGTGGTTTTTTGTTCACCAGGGGACGGCCCATGAGGAGTAGGTACATAATCTTTAATGTAAGCGTAGGTTGATATGCACATCATTTTAAAGGTCTGGTCAAGTGGAGTTCATTGCCGGAAACCGCGTCAAAAAAGGTTCATCCACTACAAAATGGCGGCATTTCAAAGTTCTTGCGGAATATACCTGCACAGGCCTTAGTAATGGTAAATACTCATAGTCAAAATTAGCCGGGAAATCTGAAACCCGGTTAAATTTGTTTTTAAGATTGAATAAATGAGCTAGTTGACTTTAAAATACAGTTTCAGCTCTCAAGATAATGTTTAATACAAGTATTTACCAATATTAAGGCCTGTAAAGGTATATTCCACAAGAACTTTGAAATGCCGCCATTTTGTAACGAATGAACCTTTTGAGATGCAGTTTCCGGCAATGAACTCCACTTGACCAGACCTTTAAAATGATGTGCATATCAACCTATGCTTACATTAAAGATTATGTACCTACTCCTCATGGGTCGTCCCCTGCTGGAGGTAAAAACATGAAAATGCTTGGAAAAAGTAGTTTTTATACATGTAAGTTGATGTGAAAAGTTTGAATTTTCTAACGGATTTGGTTAAAAAGATATTAAGCCGTTTCCAGACTTTTTGTCACCCTGTATACCTAAGTTTACCGGGGTGTTTATTTCCATTGCACAAATTGGATTACCAAATTTTTAATTATGTGAAAATATGTTTGCCAATAATGGAAGTCTTAGGACAAGATATGTAGAAAACCACATTTTACAAAAGTATGAAATAAAAAAAAATTACAAACTTTGGAACTAGATTTAATGTTGTCCAAACTGAAATCAGAAGACGTATCAAGTTGAATATAATTGAGTGACTTTACTAATAACACTTTACAATATATGTACTGAACTCGTTAACCGTTAGTTATAGTACGAGGTCCTAGAAATATAAATAGTAAAAGGTAGTAAAAAGGAAACAATTATTTATTCAATGGAAGTACACGATTAAATTAACCAAAAGTGTAATGGTAATAGAATTGCTCCAGAAAATAACGCCCTGCTATTAGGCCAAACTGCAAATAAATATTTAATGCATAATACATATGCTTATTTGATGACAGTAATAATGTTTAAACGTGCTACCCGATACACTGCAAGGTTTATATTCACTGTCAGTTGAACGACATTATTTACTCGTTTATATTTTATTATTTTCTACCATTTAAAGGAAAGTATTTAGTTTATAAAATGGCTTACTATTCATTCAGTACTAAAACCCCATACAATAGAATAGTATGACTAAGTATTTTTTGAAATAAACTTGGCAGAAATCAGGGATAACCATGAATTATTAATACTGACTTTAGACCAAATAGTTTGTTCATGATTGGGTTATTAAAACAAAACTTTTGCTAGCACACAAACTCATTTAAAAATTTAAAATATACATTTATTTGCAAAATCTCTGTTATGTTAGGTGTTATAGTATTAAATATCAAAACTATAGTACATGTAGTATATGTATGCAGACTAAAATAAAAAAGTTTACAAAAGTTACGCTTGTTGCCATGGCAACAAAAATAAATGTTCTATATGGGTGCAATTTAGGGGAAATAAGCTGTGTAGAGTCAATAGATTGCTATGAAAACAACAAAAATTGCTTTATATTGGTAGAGAGTAAAATTGTAATAATTCCTATAAATTTCTGTGTAACTATGAGTAAAAACGTTCTTATAATTTTTTTTTTAAATTTCAACTTTAATATAGCATTTTTTGTGAAGGAACAATTCACACCCTGGTCTTGTTACTATCTGATTTCGACTGTCTGCTATGTAGCAACATAATTGATAAGAAAATGAAAAACGTCCGTTTATGAAGACATACATTAAGATGGTATGACCATATCAAGAAGAATGTGTGGAGCAGGAAGAAACCCGGATGGCGGAGTACTGTATATAGAAGAGTGGAGGAGGCTAATGCACGAAGAAAAAAATTAACTGACTTGTGACGCCCAGCAGTAAGTAAAAAACATGACAGAAAACATAAAGGGGTTACATTGGAGAAATTACTTATGGCAAAAGTTATATTTTTCAGCAGCAGTTAATAAATATGACTAATCTATTTTGAATTGTTTAGTTGGATTTTTGGATTTTGATTATGATCTTAAATTTTATAACGGTTATAATAATGAAGGAAGAATTTGTAAAAAACTTTGGCCACTGTGATCTTATATCCAGCATGACCATTACAACTGTAAATTGCAGCTTAAATACCACACGTCTTCAAGCGTGTGGATGATGAGGTCATCATCTGACGTCATCAGCCTAACAACACAAATGGCGGTCATCAGGCCTGCCAACACTAACCATCTCGGCAATTAATGTCAGGCATAAAGTTTCATTAAATTAATATTTTTCTATTGAAATATTATGAAAAGTAATACCTTCCTTACATGGTTATCTTGTTGGCTGTATTTTTTGTAGTGAACGCGTTTAAAATTGGAACTCGTTGA